CATCATCATCATCATCAGCATCATCATCATCATCATCATCATCATCCTCATCGTCCTCATCGTCATCATCATCATCATCATCATCATCATCATCATCAGCAGCAGCAGCAGCAGCAGCATCATCATCATCATCATCATCATCATCATCATCATCATCATCATCATCATCATCATCATCATCATCATCATCATCATCATCATCATCATCATCATCATCATCATCATCATCATCATCATCATCATCATCATCATCATCATCATCATCATCATCATCATCATCATCATCATCATCATCATCATCATCATCATCATCATCATCATCTTCATCACCCTCTGCCGTTTCCACATTATCTGTGACATCCTCCTTAAACGTCCGAAAACCTCCTGACACATCTGAAAGCATCCGAAGACATTCGTCAACCGCGGAAGTATCCGCCTGGGGTGGAACCCATCCTTCTCCTTATCCTCCTTACTTTCACCACCCTTCCTACTCCCTCCTCCTTCCTCCTGTTCGCTCTGCTGATCCTCCTCCGCCTCCTCATCCTTCTTCGCGTTATCCTTGCCAGTGTCCTTCTCGCCCCGCTCCTCCTCCTCCTCATCCTCATCAGCATCGTCCTTTTGCGTTGCACAGACATAGCGGTATTGCGGCTGCGTCTATGGAGTCGTTCGCGAACAAACGACAAAGGACAAACGACCAGAAGGATCGTAACGAAACATACGATCGACTTGGAGCCTATGTATCGGTGCTCCAGGTGTTGGCATAGTGCGTGCCCTGAAAGGGAGCGGGGGGCGAAGAGGTGAGGAGAAGTAGAGAAGCCCTCTCGAGGGTAAAGGTGGGCAACAGGCAAGGACCCTCACTGAGGGTAAGGTGTACGCAGACCGTCCTCCTCCACCGCTTCCTCAGACCCTCCCCCATCACGACAGTGCTCGCGCCTGCGGTGGCGCGCTGCAGTGCAGGGCCAATGTTACGAGCCCCTGGTCTTCGTGAGTTCGCCACTCCTGGCCTTCCCTCGTCTCTATGCTCACGCCGCCCCTGCTTCCTCCCTCTCATCCGCGAGTCCAGGCCAGCGCTGCGCCCGATCAAGGGGCCCAGTCAAAGAAGCCAGATGCAGGGCGGCGCTGCGACAGTCCAAAGGTCCTCCTCCTCCTGCTCCTCCTCCTCCTCCTCCTCCTCCCCCTTCTCCTCCTCCCCCTCCTCCTCCTCCTCCTCCTCTTCCTCCTCCTCCTGCTCCTCCTCTTCCTCCTCCTCGTCATCATCCTATGTTCCTTGCCGGCCGCCTCCTGGGCAGCGCCCTCGGGCAACTTCGCCCGCGCAACCGCCTGCACCTCCCACAGGCCCTCGGAGAAGTCTCTTTCAGTCGCGCTTATGGGTCGCCGTCGTCGTCGTCGTCGTCCTCCGTCCTCCGTTCCCCCCTCCTCCCCGACGTCCTCTTTCTCCTCCTCGACATCCTCGTCCTCCACCTCCTCCACGTCCTCATCATCCACCTCCCCCTCCTCCTGACCCTTCCATTCCCATAATCCTCCGCGGGCGGGGTGGGGAGGACGAGGAGGAGGAGGACAAAGGAAGATAAGAAGAAGAAGAGGAGGCGAAGGAGAAGGAGCAGGAGCAGGAGGAAAAAGATTATGGAGCTGATTACCTTTCGGGGCCTCATGGGGGGCTTGCGTTGCCACGGCTGGGTCCTATTCGAAATCCCAATCGTAATGCGGTCTAGAAGAGGTTCGAGGGTTGGCGTTGGGGGAGGAAGACGAGAAGGAGGAGGAGGAGGAGAAGAAGCAAGAGCAGGAGCAGGACGAGTCGCACTCAGTGAGGGGGAGTTGGGGGGGGGGTCTGTCCCAGTGGCCTTGAAGAACTGTTGGCAGATGAAGGCTGCGCCGCGCCATCGCGCAGGCACTAGCCTTGACAAGACCTGCAATCGGGCAAGAGTTATGCCTGAGCGTATTATACACGGTATATAGCATGTATGTTCCGAGAGCCATGCTTCAAAAGGCGAAAACCTCCAAATTCTGCCAGGTTCCTGATGTGAACATAATAAACGGGCGCCCTAATCCACAAAACACCGGGAAGTAGCGGGAGGAAGGCCATCACTTCATGGAGGAGGCAGGGACATTGTAAGTAGTGAACCATATCACGACCCATTCCCATGCCACAGCAAATTACACGGACGAGCCCGGATAGAGTGGCGCACCGCGCAATTCCAGTGGTACATCTCGTCTTGAGACAGGAGGTGAGGATACATAGTGGAACATACTTGGCCAGGAAGTTCGACCGAATCCTAATGACAAACGCTTCTTGCTTGGTAACTCTCGCCGATAATCCTGGAGCCTCGGACACAGCAGTTCCCCCATGCAGGCGCGACTGAGGGTCCCCCCGAGGCGCGACTGAGGTTCCCCGCATGCATCGCGTAAACTGTGGACTGGACAGAATGGAGTCCTTGAAGACCGGGTTTCGCTTATGTGTGAGAAATCCCTCCCCCTCCAGGATTTCATTATACCACCGAAATGTCCCACCTCACCAAGGCTACGGTCCGAACCCCCGATACGCTGCAGCTTTAAAGGCAAATGTCCCGAACATCCCTTTGGAACCCAAGAGAGAGGAGATTCATCATCACCCCGTGGTGAATGGAATTAAAAAGCTCAGCACGCACTGGCTGGACTGCTTCATACTCTCTGCGAAGGACCATGCGGGAAGGCGCGCACAGATGGGCAACATACCTGGGCGTCAGGAAAGCGAACGCGTTGCAAGAAAGAACGTTGACCACGAAGCTCTGGCACGAGACTTCTGGATCAGCTTGCCCCCAAACATCCTCCCAAGACGTGGCGCCCCCGCCCTCCTAGACCACAAAACCAAGGCACGTGCCACACAGTGACAGCTTGAAGCATGAAGCGTCGAGGCCGTGTTCGGCAAACGTCGCAGGTCGCAGCGACTCGGTCATAGCCCTGAGGCAGGAGAATGACCGTCTTGACAGGGTGGACGTGCAGCCTTGTCGACTCAGCGACCCAATCGAGGACAGGAAGGACAACCGTAAGAGAAGATGATATGGGAGGTCAGACCGAGGTCGTCGGCGAACGCGTAGAGAGAGAGAGAGAGAGAGAGAAAACGACGGAGAGGAGGGAATGCGGCGATCGGGTAACGAGAGCATATAGCAGCCAACTCAGTGGGCACCCTTGTTTGGGAGTACGCCCATGAACGAGAGAGAACTCATCGCAACCACTGGCATTGATGATAGCGCGGACGGAAGCATGCTGCAGCATGAGCGCATGCAGAAAGAACTTGGGAATCGACATGTTCTGAAGGACGTAGAAAAGGTAGGAGTGGAAAAGCGAAGGGAGGGCAGCCTTCACGCCAGAAAGTACTCCCCCCTCACGGGTCACCTTCCACACTTTGCCAGATCCGAAGCTCAGAGTCCAAGGAGGTGGCGCAGTCCAGGATTTGCCTACCAAACAGAAACCCAGCCTGCAAACAACGCACAACCACCATCGAGGCCACGTGGCCTAGCGGAGATGAGTATGCGCTAGCCAAGACGCAGATCTTCCAAGGAGGTGCACAGTCGGCAGAGTCTAGCAAGCCATTACTCAGCTGGAGTGGTGTTGGCCATCCATCGGCATGATGCATGACGACCGAGGCACCCACCTCTCATGGTTGCAAACCCTCCAGTTGGCCTGTTCACTCACATGCCCTGTGCGTCGCAAAGAAGACCCTTCTTCGGACGCACCCCTACCACCAGACACGACCTGGGCGCGGTCGCCGCAGACAGACAGGGCCTCGACTGCTTTGCCAACGACAGGTAGCTAAATGCACGGCCTGGCAGCTCGGCCTTCTCTGCAACTTGCTTCGCGGCGGTGATCACACCAAGCATGGAAAGTTCGCGCGGGCATTTCGGCCGACCCATCACCGCTGCACAGAAGGCGCAACCAAGAAGAAACCCAGGAACACGGTCTGGAAATACCCGTTCTAGGAGGGGGGGGCGGACCGCCTTGAAAATCATGATCACTGGTTAGCAGTGGAGAGACCTCCCGCTCCCCAGAAGGCATTGCGGGCTGCTTGAAGAAGACCCGCAGGTGCTGGACCTCCAGGCCACCTTAACACAGGACGTTCTCCCACAGCCCATTCCGCGCCCCCCTCCTGATGCCTCCGAAGCGGATCTGTTCGAGAAAGACACCGAGGACGACGCTGGGGCCAGGTGGGTCTATGCGGCAACCGACGGAGCCTGCATGCATCAAGCCCACCCGCTCCTGGCCTGGGCTGGATTCGGAATCTACTACGGGCCTGATCACCGACTCAACCACTCAGGTCGGGCGCGCGGCTTGGCCCAGTCTGCACAACGCGCTGAGACCCTCGCCCTGCTCCACTTGGCGGCTGCGGCTGATCGGTCTGTCCACATATTGATTGACATCCAAACCGTCGTCGACAGATTTGAAGCCCTCCTCGCAGGAAAGCCACAACAAATCCGCCGGCCCCCTTGTGGGGCCACCAGGCTGCGAGGCACGGGTTCGCAGTTTCCAGTACCAGTTGTAGCTTGTAGTTTCCAGTGTTACAGTTCTGCTTCTTGCTGGTTACTGTAACTAGTTGATTGACCGCGCGAGGGGGGGGGAGGCCCAAACGGGATTTTTAGCGTCCCCTGGGCGCGTTGTCTGAATTGCTGGGGGGGCTCGAAATCGACACCCCTCACGCAGATCCGCGGGGTCAGGGTCCAAAAACACAAGGGATTTGCCACATTTCTGAAATTCGGTGCCACCCCTCACGCAGATCCGCGGGGTCAGGGTCCAAAAACACAAAGGGATTTGCCACATTTCTGAAAGTCGGTGCCACCCCTCACGCAGATCCGCGGGGTCAGGGTCCAAAAAACACAAAGGGATTTGCCACATTTCTGAAATTCGGTGCCACCCCTCACGCAGATCCGCGGGGTCAGGGTCCAAAAACACATAGGGGATTTGCCACTTTTCTGAAATTCGGTGCCACCCCTCACGCAGATCCGCGGGGTCAGGGTCCAAAAACACATGGGATTTGCCACATTTCTGAAATTCGGTGCCACCCCTCACGCAGATCCGCGGGGTCAGGGTCCAAAAACACAAGGGATTTGCCACATTTCTGAAATTCGGTGCCACCCCTCACGCAGATCCGCGGGGTCAGGGTCCAAAAACATAGGGGATTTGCCACATTTCTGAAATTCGGTGCCACCCCTCACGCAGATCCGCGGGGTCAGGGTCCAAAAACACATGGGATTTGCCACATTTCTGAAATTCGGTGCCACCCCTCACGCAGATCCGCGGGGTCAGGGTCCAAAAACACATGGGATTTGCCACATTTCTGAAATTCGGTGCCACCCCTCACGCAGATCCGCGGGGTCAGGGTCCAAAAACACATGGGATTTGCCACATTTCTGAAATTCGGTGCCACCCCTCACGCAGATCCGCGGGGTCAGGGTCCAAAAACACAGGGGATTTGCCACATTTCTGAAATTCGGTGCCACCCCTCACGCAGATCCGCGGGGTCAGGGTCCAAAAACACAGGGATTTGCCACATTTCTGAAATTCGGTGCCACCCCTCACGCAGATCCGCGGGGTCAGGGTCCAAAAACATAAGGGATTTGCCACATTTCTGAAATTCGGTGCCACCCCTCACGCACATCCATCGCAAGGCGTGGTAACCCAAACTGCGAGTACTCCCTCGGCCCTTTAATCCCAAGGTGTGGTAACCAAGCTCGTAAACCATACACGTCTTACCAATCGCCCTGTGTGGTAACCCCTCTCGTGATCAGTTGGTTTTGCCGATTGCGAATCGGCCTCGCATGAAGTTCCGATACTGCTGCACGACAGCGCCACAGCCTCATGACTTAGCTCTTCCATGGCCCATTCTCCGAGAGAGGGGGCCGGCGGCAGGGGGCGAAGCCCTTACGGATTACTGGAGTCCAGGCCGATCTCTGGCAAAAGATCCACCGGGCGCCGCAAGACAAACCTGACATGCTCACGATCCAGAAAGTCGGAAGCCATCTCGGTGAGCCAAGGCATCGTTGAAGGCCGAGCCACGCCGGCCAGAGACGATTTTAACCGCCATGCAGATAAAATGGGCACTGCCAGAGCACGTTTGCACAACTTGCAGCACTACGCCGTCGACAGAGCCACGTGGCGGCATAAGCTCGCGGCGACTCTCCACAGCACTGCTGCCGCGACCACTGCTCGTCGCCAACACATGTTGCCCTTGCCAGAGAGGCGGGCGGGTTACTCGAGGGCTGAATTCAGCAAGATGGATCCCAACCCGCTCACCATTGTAGGGAACCGACCTCTATACACCGTCGCTTTTTTCTGGCCCTGCACTGAAATTTGTACCGGAAAGCGGA